GGGCGTTGGCTGGGGTGAGGACCATCCCAGTCCAACTGCGGCGGGGGTGAGAACCATCCCGTTTGTTGGGCGTTGGCTGGGGGTGAGGACCATCCCAGTCCAACTGCGGCGGGGGTGAGAACCATCCTATTAGATTAATTTTGACACAGAATATAGAAGGCTAATTTTGGCTTCTATTTTATTGAAAATGTGGGACCCTGCCTCATTTAAAACCTTCCCTAGTAAAACCCATTGGGACAAAAACGTAGGGAAGGAAAAGAGTGCAGGCGATGTTACATGGCAAATTAACTATAGTACTTCTTGAGCTTGTCTGCATTCCATGCCCTCGGGATCGCCTTCCCATCCAGTGTTTCGAGCGAGTAAGCTCCTTTTCCCAATTTGTTTGCTATTCGGTAGGGACCTTCCCAGTTTGGGGCGAGCTTTTCTTCTCGGGCATTCTTGTTTCCAATGTCCGCTCTTCTGAGAACCAGATCTTTTTCTCAAAAACTTGTGGAATGACTTTCTTGTTGTAATAAGTGGCTGACCTTTCTTTTGACTGGCGATCATTGTGGGCAGCATATCCTCTGATTTCGTCCAGCAAGTCAAGTGCTTCCTTCAAATGTTGGTTGTTGGTGACCTCGGTCACGTGTTCTCGTCGCCAGGAGGGTTCACCTACTTCCACAGGGATCATGGCTTCGGCACCATAGGTCAATCTGAAGGGCGTTTCTCTGGTGGAAGACTGGGTGGTAGTCCTGTACCCCCATAGGACGTTGTCAAGGTTCTCTAACCATGCTCCTTTGTGTGCTTCCAACTTCTTCTTGATTCCTTTCCCCAATATTTTGTTGGCTAACTCTACTAAGCCGTTGGATTGAGGGTGTTCTACGGCGGAAAAATAGTGTCGTATCTGTAGACTGCTCATTAGTTCACGGAACTTTGTATCAGTAAATTGAGTGTCGTTATCGGTAATGACCTCTCCTGGGATACCGAATCGGTAGACGATGCTTCTCCAAAAGAACCTTCTTGCTTTTTGGGACGTGATGGTGGCCAAGGGTTCTGCCTCTACCCATTTGGTAAAGTAGTCAATGGCAACAATCAGCCATTGGACTCGGCCAGCCGCCATGGGGAAAGGGCCTAGAATGTCAATTCCCCACTTGTAGAAAGGCCATGGTGATGTGATTGACGTCAGCTCTTCCGGTGGCGCTCTGTGTATATCAGCAAATCTTTGGCATTTTTCGCATTTCTTGACGTGTTCGTGGGCGTCATGCTCCATGGTTGGCCAGTAAAACCCTGCTCTTAATGCTTTCTTTACCAGTGAGTGACCGCCTAAATGGTGGCCGTTAATACCTTCATGAATTTCTTCTATCACGTATTGAACGTCATTAGGGACCAAACATTTCAAGAGTGGGGTTGAGAGCCCCCTTTTATACAACCGTCCTTTCACTAGGCAGAAATGCGCGCATCGCCGTATTATCTTTTGGCCTTCTTTTTTATCTTGGGGAAAAACTCCTTCAGCCAAGTAGTTGATGATTGGTGTTGTCCAGGTTTCTTCAGCGACTTCCTCTGGCGGGTTTGAAATACTCATCACAATGCATGGGCTTGGCATGTTATGCTGGATTACTGATCGGTTGTTTCCTGAGCTTTTGGTGCTCGCCAATTTGGCGAGGATATCTGCCCGGGTATTTTCAGCTCGTCTTATATGCTCCACTTCAACGGCTTTAAAACTTTCAATCAATTCTTTGACCTTTTCTAGGTACCTGCACATTAACGGTCCTTTGGTATGGTATTCGCCTGAGATTTGAAAAGTTACCAGCTGGGAGCCAGTGAAGACTTTGAGACGTCTGGCGCCCATTTCTTTTGCTTGGAGCAGAACGGCTATCATGGCCTCATATTCTGCTTGGTTATTTGTGGCGTTGAAGTCAAAAGACAAAGAGTGTTCGAGCGCTACACCGTTTGGGTTTTCAACTATCATTCCAGCGCCCGATCCTTTGGCGTTTGAAGAGCCGTCAACATATAGTTTCCAGATTCCAGCTGAAGGCGTTTCTGTTGCATGATTCTCAAGGGGAGGGCTTTGCGTTATTTCGGCGATGAAGTCTGTCAAGGCTTGAGCCTTAATGGCAATTCTCGATTCGTAGGCGATCTGGTACTCCGACAATTCTATCGCCCAGGACATCATTCTTCCAGCTAGATCTGGCTTATGTAAAATTTGGCGGATTGGCTGATTTGTTCTGACAGTGATTGGATGACACTGGAAATATGGCCTTAACCGCCTTGCAGCAAAGATGAGTGTTAATGCCACATTTTCAACCTGTTGGTACCGAAGCTCAACGCCTTGTAAAACTTTGCTAATAAAATAGACATGCCTTTGTCCTTCTTGTGATTCTTTGACGAGAGTTGCACTGACCGCCTCTGTTCCAACGACGAGATACAAATACAACATCTCTCTGTGGTCTGGTTTGACAAGTACTGGCGGGCATGAGAGAGCCCTTTTGAATTCCTGAAAGGCGTTCTCACATTCTTCTGACCACCAAAAGGTGGTCCCCTTTTTGAGCAAGCTAAAAAGGGGGAGAGATTTGTGTGCTGAGTTTGCCAGAAAACGGGTGAGAGCTACTCACCTTCCGGTCAGTTGTTGGACTTCTTTGATTGTTTGCGGGCTTCACATCTCAATGACTGCCTTGCACTTGTCTGGGTTCACTTCTATGCCTCGCTCTGTAAGCATGAAGCCTATGAACTTTCCCGCGGGAACCCCAAAAGCGCACTTGCTGGGGTTGAGGCGCATGTTAAACTTTCTCAGTCTCCCGAAGACACCTTGGAGGTCTGCTAAGTGTTGGTCTGGCATTTTGGATTTGGCGATCATGTCATCAATGTAAACTTCTATGCAGTTGCCGATCAGATCTCTGGACACTTCATTCATCATCCTTTGATATATGGCGCCCGCATTCTTCAATCCAAAGGGAATCATCGTATAACAATAGTTGGCGTTCTGGGTGATGAACGCTGTTTTGTCTTGATCCTCCTCCAGTAACGGGATTTGGTTATATCCCGAATATGCGTCCATGAAAGACAACATTTGGAAACCTGAGGCGTTGTCGACCAGCTGGTCAATGCTCGGGAAAGGATAGGCGTCCTTGGGGCAGACCTTGTTGAGGTCAGTATAGTCAACGACATTCTCCACGCACCATTGGGTTTCTTTACTAACACTGGATTGGATAACCAAGTTGTGTACTTGATTTCCCTGATGAACCCGGCGTCATGGAGTCTCTTGATCTCTTCATCGATGACCTTCTGGCGATCGAAACCAAACTTTCTCTTCTTTTGTGAAACTGGTTTTGCTTTAGGATCCACCGACAAACGGTGGCAGCATATAATGTTGTAACAACTTCGGGCGACAATTTGATCTCCTCGCACAGTGGCGATGTTATTGTCTTTGGCTATGAACTTCATTGCCAGGTGGGGGTGCGAGATGCTCGCCTCAAATGCGGCAAACATTCTTCTGCCTAGGATGGCGTTGTAAGCGGATGGTGTGTCCAGCACTAGGAATTGGATGTCTGCATACCGTGATGTTGGCGGCGTTCCAAGGGAGAGACACAAGTTTATCACTCCCAATGGCTTGGTGGTGGTAGCATTAAAACCTGAAAGTTCACCTGCGACAGGAGTTAAATCATTAATCGTGAATCCCAGCGCTTTGAAACAGGGCAAAAATAAAATATCGACCGAGCTGCCGTGATCAACAAATACACGGTTCACGCCATAATTGGCGATTATTTCTTGGATGACAAGCGGGTTGTCATGTCCTGGGAGGACGTCGCCCAACTCGCTGCTATCCCAAACTATGTTGGGCCTGGCTGGACCAGAGTCGCCTTTTCCTTTGCTGATCACCTTTCCTGCAACTGCCAGGCATTGTTTTAAATGCTTCTTTCTGGCGTTGGATGTTTCGCCCCCACCGCTCAAACCGCCAGAGATCATGTTAATTACTCCATGTTTGATGGCAGCAGAGTCTTCTTCTTCTTCCACGCGCCTTCCTCCGCGGCTCGGGCTCGCCTGTGTTCTGGTTCTTTGAGGTGAGTCTTCTCTGTTGTCTCGTCCCTGGCGGGACCGAGTGCCGGATTGATTGGTTCTCCTCCTTTCTGGCGACTTGCTTCGGACACGGTATCGCCCACCCGATCTGGAAGAGCGGGCGCTATCTCCTCCGCGCTTCTGCGTACCGCCTTTGATGAGTTCCTCAATCTCGTCCTTGAGGCGCCTGCATTCCTCCGTGCTGTGGCCATTACTGCGATGAAACTTGCAGTATGCTGTGACCTCTTTGCTTGGCTACTGGAACCGTTGGCTACTTTTGGGATCCTCTTTGTAGTCGGTTTGTAAGACACTGTGTGACCGTCGTTCTGATGTGTCTCGCCCCGAAGGACGGGTGGAGCGGGTGGATGCTTGGTATCCTTTTCTACTTTCATCAGTGTGGTTCTTTCCCTTGTTGACCACCTTTTCTTGATCGTGGGAGTCACCAGCTCGACTCCCTTTGTATTCTTCAATTCTCATAAATTCTTGCGCTTTTTTCTTGACTTCTTCTAAGTTAGTAATCTCATGTCGTGCGAGTTCGTAAGCGAATTCTCCTTGTCGCAAGCCTGACAAGAGTATGTGTACCTGTACCTTTGGGTTTAGGCCTTGCACTTGTAAGGCCTCTTTATCAAAACGGTCTAGGAAGGACCTGAAGGACTCGCCAGAAAGCTGTCAGACCTTCTCAAGGGCGTGCACGGATTTTGGCACGGGGCAGCTAGTTGCAAAATGGGACTAGAACTTGCTTGCTAAATCGTCCCAAGATGCAATACTGCCTGTTGGCAGGGTGGTGTACCAAGTCAGAGCTCTCCCTCCCAACAGTGTTGGGAAAGTTCTGCACATAAGTAGATCCGTTTCGCCATGGAGTGTCATTGTTGCTTCGAATTTTTGGATCCACTCAAAAGGATCCGTATCGCCAACATATGTGGCGATGTTAGAGGGACCCTTGAAACCGAGGGGTATGGGAGTTAGTCTCAAGCTGTCGGTTAAAGGCTTGTTACGCCCTGACGTGTGAGCAGGCGTTATTCTGATATGTTGATCTTGTTGTGGTCGAGGTATTTGTGGGGCTTCCACGGAGTATGAGAGGGCTGGGGCTTGGTGGAAAGCTTGTTGAGCGCCATATGGTTGTTGATTGGGATCCGGACAAGATGCCAAAGGTTGTGGAACAGCTATGTTATGGGGTTGTATGGCGTAACCATGGAATGGGAAACCAGCTTGGTGAGGTAGTTGAAAAGGGATAGCCATGTTATGTGTGTATGGCCTAGGTGGGTATGGGGCGATCATGGGTACCCGACGGTCGTTGTATACTGGCAGTGGTTGACTTTGGGCTGGTAGTGGAGGATGGGCGAGATGGGCAATTCGTGGAACAGCTGCTGGAAATGGCATTCCAAAATGAACTCCGAGGGGTGGTGGTTGGTATGGAACTACATTTTCCCCCTGCATCTCGTGCATGGGTACTTGATGATGTTGCAGGGCGACCCTAGCACCAGTCGTTGGCAACTGTGGACCTATGGATTGTAGTACAGGAGGTAGGGCCTCTCCAGCGGCCCGCTCAGCTGGGGCTGAATGCATGGATGGCGGGGAGTTCGATTGTACTGTCTGTACGTGTCCTTCTGGCGTCGTAGCCCTGGCGTGTTCCGCTCTTCTGGTGATGACCACCATGTTCAGTTGCAAAATGCGTTTGGCGATTGTTTGGTAGCTAGAGGAAATGACCCGTCAGATGGATCTTTGGGTAAGAGAATGAGAATAGAAGTTTATAGTTTCCCACAGACGGCGCCAATGTACCGTTGGGATCTATAAGCCCACTATGTTCCCTTTAGGGATGAGTCACTATATGGGAGATACCCTTAGCTTAGGTACAGACCAGGCTAAGAGGTATTATGCCAAGCAATGGCAAGACAATAAGTAAGTGCAGTAAACAATAGGACTCAAAATAAATGGGCAATATAACGATACATAAGATGCCTTTAGGCTGTGCCCATGGGGGCTATTTGTAGGGAAAATGGTGTGGTTGGTGAGGAGGGGTCAATCCTCCTTGGGTGATAGCAGTGTTGGGCGTGTTTGGCGCTGCCATTTGGGCAGCGCTGCGCCTTCTGCGTCTGGCTATGTCAGCACTGGGCAGAGGGTAGTTTTCCCTTTATGGTGCCTGTGACTAGCGCCTTTGGTGGTTAGCATCCCGAGATAGGACATTTCGGTGTATCCCTTGGACGTGCTGCAAGGATGGAGGGCGCGAGACGTGGGTTGGGGCTGAAGATTGAGCCTGGCCAGCTGGGCTATACCGGTGCTTGGGCCATCCAGAACACATCCTAAAAGCTAAAGACTCCTTATTACTACCTCTTGAGAGCAGGCCACTTGTCCATGACCAAAACAACCCTTGTTTTATTGACACAACAAATGACTCCTAATAACCCAAAACGACCCACTCGTATTTTAACATAGTAAATGACTAAATAACCCCAAAATGACTCCACCTGTTTACTTCCATGACATAATGTTTCAACCATTTTGGTTGGACCCTAACTCTCAACTACCTTATCTCTCCATCTGTCTCTTCTTCTTTATGCTTCAAATTTGAGAGCCTCCTTGCATGATCCAGGGAGTGATGGTGAGTATCTAAACAAACTCCTATCACCCTATCTCATTTTCCATGAAGATTCCAATTGGTTGCAAATTCTCATTCCATCGATATCCATGGTTTTGATGTTGTTGACTTCAAAGGTGGTAATGTTTTACTTATCTCCCAATGCATGAATAAATAAAATTATATACTGAATGCGTAAAATTAAGAAATTTATTTATGAATAATTATTGTTTTTATTTTTTGTTGAGAAGTCATTTAAGTAAGAGGTTAATAGTTATAAATAAGGTTTTATATTATATGAATATTGAAAAAAATTTGTTCTACCAAAATATTTTTGTAAGTGACGATTATTTGCTATTGAGTGGGGAGTCGTTCTCACTTAGTAGTGTTCACTGGTATTTATATGAAATCGTGAAGAAATTTGTAAGTAATTATTTATTTGTGTGAATAATTATTTATTATCATTTAATAGTTAACCATTAAAGTTATTTATAAGACCTGTGAAGTCAAAATGATTTTGTAAATGGTTATTCCAAGCCATGAAATTATCATTCTTTTTCGTTAGGTAATTTGTCGTAAATATACATGACGTATTCTTTTCATTAATATACATTACGTGATAAATAAATTTACTAATAATAATTGTTTGTTAATAAATAGTTATTTATTTTCACTAAATAATTATTATTTTATAAAGTTTTTTTAACTATTAACTAAAATATAATAATTCTTAAAAATTTTAGTATTTTTAATAATTTGAATTTTTTATATTCATCTGGAATAAATATCTCCTTGTAACCGTCGTCAGCATTAGTTTCTTTTTTAAATGAGATATAAAGCTTAAAAAAAAAAAAAAAAAACATATACACACACACAAAAAGACAAACGTTATATTAAAATTCTGACATCAAGCAGTTCTCAAGAAGACTGAGAGCACATGAACTAAAAACAACAAAAAAAAATTAAAAAAAAAAGCGAATCGAACCCATAACTCGTTGTCCGAGTTCGACCCTTCCCATTCCGCCTTCGATTCGTGCAGCAACTACAATCTTTGTTCCTCCATTGTTTTCACCTCGTCAATTCTCTGCTCGTTCGTCATTTGCTTTCGATTTCGGTGGAAAGTGGGTTTTTGCGCCTTTTTCTTGGATCTGGGGACATCGATTCCGGTGCAAACTGGCTATGGACTACGAACCCTACGATAGTAGCGGTGAGCTTTATTCTAAAGTTACTTGCTTTTTGGTTATCTACACCAAAATCTTAAAACTTTTTTTTTTACTTGGGGTTAGGGTTTTGTTTGAATTTCAATTGGCACAAAAATTCATGGGTTTTCATGCATTGCTTGTGGAATCTAAGTTGTGTCTTGTTTTTTGCTATCCATGTAACAGTGAATAACTTAAGTGTGTGTTTGATTAATTGGTATAATGCAAATGGTGCATGTTTTTGTGACTTGACCTGTTTGTTTTGACAATGATCTCAGGGGTCTACAAGATTAGTCTTTTCGTTAACCAGTGTTATTCAATGATAAAAGTAGAAGCCTTCTTGCTATGAAGCACCGATACTCCGAAATTTTTTTCCAACGTTTCCGATACTCGGAAACGTATTGCATCGTATCGACGAGAATTAATGGTCGTATCGAGAACATATTTGGAACGTATCGAGAACGTATTTGGAACGTATCGAAAACGCCGTGTCGGAGTCGGTGCTTCATAGCCTTCTTGTCACAATGTGAATTTTACATGTTGGCTTTGCATGATGCCCTTGATGCAAGAGGCGCCAAAAGGTGGGTGGCTCACTGAAGAAATGAATTAGAAAGAAGCAAGGAGTAAATTATTGGGCCTTTTCTGCATTAATTTGCCGTATAAAAATTAACTACTCAAGCATAACATTTATAGGAAACATAAAAGTTTACAATTTTCAATTTCAAGATCCTATGCTGCTTTCTGCATAGAGTTCCGGAGTCCAACTACTAGTTATTTTGTTTGACAATGTGATGGCTGACCCTCTTGGGTTTCTTTCTTTTATGTTAGCAGTGGGGCAAAAAGGCATGCCTCACTTCAACAAGAAAGGCACACTAAAGGTGCTGACCACTTCTGGCACCTTGGACTACATCTATTGACAGTTTGGTTGAGAAGTAGTTTCTTAAAGTTTTCAAACTTAAGGAAGGAAGAAGCATGTGGAAGGGTCTATCCATTTATTTACGAGAATTTAGAGTTTTTCTATATTAAATGTTTGCAGACTGAAGATCCTCAAATTCCTACTGTTTTACCCCACCCCACTTCTCCCTTTTTTGAAACAATATTGTGTGTATGATTTGCTATACCATTCAGTGTAACACTGATGTGGGGCAGATTGCTTGCATCGCACCCATGGTGGAAATTGGGTGATTTGAAATATTTACTTTTCTCCCCTTATTACAGCTTCTCTTATCTAGTCAAGTGTTGGGGTGAATGGATTGTGTCCTCACTTTGTATAGTTAGTGAATGCAATTATGCGCAGCTCCTAATGCACTGACATGTTCTTTCAATGTATTTATGAGCATGGGGTAGATTTTTCACCTGTGCCGAAAAAATATGGTTGATACATATTTCAAAGATTTAATGGTCTGGCCTCACTTGTTATACTTATTATATCCATTCATTCGATGTAATGATTGCAGGAACTGATGATGATCTCCCACCAACACACCAAAATAGAATTCCCAGAGGGGGACGTCTCGCTGGGAATGGAAGACCTGCAGTAGGTTCAATTCCATACCCTAGGATGTATGGTGAAATTGATATGGAAACTCAAATTCACCAACTTGAGCAGGAAGCATACAGTTCAGTTCTACGAGCCTTTAAAGCTCAAGCTGATGCCATTACTTGGGTACATTTTGTCATTTTGTTTTCACATATCTAATATTTTGAAATTTGTTTCATCAGGTTTAAATGACTGCTACATGACATGTATTTTCTTCAGGAGAAGGAAAGTTTGATTACAGAACTTAGAAAAGAACTAAGATTATCAAATGAGGAACACAGGGAACTTCTAGGCCGTGTTAATGCAGATGATGTCATACGAAGGATAAGGTCTGGTAAAATTGTGAAACACAATTTCTTGCTGGTCTTTGCTCTAGAAGTGTGATTGTCTTTCCATTGTTCCGTATGCATTTTTTTTTTGTAAATCAACACTTCACTGGGCATTGATTTTAGGGAATGGAGACAGACAGGAGCCCATCAGCCTGGTGTGTTGAGTACTGGGCAAGTTATTCATGATTCAATTCCAAGTCCCACGATCTCTGCATCTCGTAAAAAGCAGAAAATAATGCCCTCTGTACCATCACAATCTTTTGGTGGGCCTTCTCCTGCATTTCATCCCCAACCACTGGCTGCACCCCACCAGCCGTCTTCTTCTGTGGCAAAACGTGGATCTGTTCCTGGATCTAAGGGCAAGAAGCACAAACCTGTAAGTAAATGATAAATTCACTTTACAGTGTTCTCCATTTCTTTGTTTATCTTCACTGAGCTTGGGTTTGTTCCCTTCGCAGCTGCTGAATAAATTATTTGTCACTAGGGAAAATACATCAACATTATTGTGTGTTTTTGTTCTTTTATTTACAGGGCCAAGTATTACCTGGTGTATCTTCAATAAAGCAATACCCTTCATCAGGACCAGGTGGAAGGAATCAAGTACCTAATAGAGTTACTTCTGGTATTGTCATGGGGGAGCTTGCTGAGGGAGGACCATTCGATTCACTGATTGGTAGGAGAGTACGGACTAGATGGCCTGATGACAATAACTTTTATGAAGCAGTTATCTCCGACTATAATCCAGTTGATGTACGTACACCCCCCCCCCCCCCCCCCCCTCTTTTTCCTTTTCCTTCCAAAAAATAAAGAATAAAAAAAATTAATTAAGGATTTGTGCTGACAAGTTTACTTTTACGTCTAACTTTTCAGGGTCGACATAATCTGGTCTATGACATGGGGAGTGCAAATGAAACATGGGAATGGGTTAATCTGTCAGAGGTATATCTGATACTGTTGATCGTGGTCTTGTGTACTTTGTTATGGTTTGCACACTGGCACTAATTTATGATTGTAAAACTGTGGTTGTAAAGATGTTTGGAACTCGTTTAAGAAACTTGAAAGGGCAATGAAGCAATAGGAGAACTGGGAGACAATCATGTTCTTTTGACTTCCTGCCCCCTCCCCTTTTTAGATAAATCCATGCTTTAGTAATGTTTTATTATTTAGATTTTTTAATATCTAAAATGGTGGAGAACGGTTTTGTAATTTAATATCTTGGACTAGAATTCTGAAGGCATTTTAATAAAATGTTTTCAGCTGTGTGTTTATACTAAGGAAAAATATATATATAGTTGTCATATCAATTTCATTTGCGTCTATCAATCTTGGATATGTCATTTAGTTGTCATATCCAACACAGAACATGCATGATATGTCTATAGTATTTTTCAATATTCGATTTGTCTTGTGTTGGCTGGATTTGGCTTGGATACTCTGGCCTGATACATCATAGGAACTCGTTTTCTGTAAATGTAAAACAATCTGACCAACAAAATGTGAGATTGAGGTGAATTGAAGAAGAGTCAATGAGCATAGGATGTTTTGATATCAAGTAAAACAATTTAATAGATAGTGGGAGAGAAAGATCAGACTAAGTGCCCGTTTGGGAGGTTTTTTTTATTCTAGCTTCTTTTCTTCTTATAAGTAGAAGCTATGCCAAACAGGTTTTTACAAAAGCTCTTATAATAAAAAGAGCTATTTTTATAATGAAGAAAAAAGCCAAAAGCTCCTAGGAAGAGTGTTTTTTTATGTTGTATCAGCTTTTTTTGAAATGTATCTTTTTTTTTTTAAATGAACAGCTTTTAAGTAACATTTAAACTTTATATAATCATCAACCAACTCGTAGTTTTATTTTTAAAGCTCTTTTTTTTAGCTTTAGCTTAAAAATAGTTTTTAGCTTAAAAAATAGATGTGCCAAACAGGCTCTAAGTAGAGCTTTTGCCCCATGATCTTTCTTAGTTGTTGTTGTTCTGTATCTCTGTTTTGGTTAAAGTACTGAAACTTCCCCCAAAGAGGGAAGAAGCAGGATAGGACACTCAAGGTAGCAGGGGCAATGAAGATTGTGGAAACATAGTATCCCAATACAACAAGTGCATAGTTTTCTAGGAGATGGGCTGTGTGATTTTATTCCTTTTCCGAATTTCTTCCCACTAACCATCAGCCCTTGCACATATAATGCCAGTCATGAAAGATTGGCGCAAATGTTGTTATAGTTTTATATTTCAATTACAATAGTATTTTTAGGAAAGATTAAAAAACAAGAGGAAAACTAGTGCTATAAAGCTTAAGCTCCTGCGCTATGTGCAGGGTTTAGGGAAGGGTTACACGCCTTTGTGTGGGTTTATAGGGTTCATAGTAGGTGGTTCTACCTTGCATTTGCAAGAGGCTGATTACATAATTCCAATATGTGACCTTCGGTTCACATGGAAATAATAATATACTATGCAAATTAAATGTAAAAGTATGATATAATAATTTTGCAATATGCCCTACCAATAACTAATGCCTTTTTTTTTTCACTTAATATGATACACTAATAATTGGTGCTTTTTTAAGTTATCAAATATTGATGTTCCATTGTTCCTATTTTAATTTTTTAATTAATTTGTGCCGATGTATAATCATTGTATTATATCCAATAATTTTATGAAAACTTATTGCATAGTAAATGTCGTATATCTGTGCTTCATAGAGTAGTATTGCTTTAGAAATATTTTGGTAAGCTTTTGTTAACATCTTTAAATTGAGTTATGGTGTTGCGGACCAAGGTCTTTGCTTGGTATAAATTGGTATTTATTAGTTTCCATTAATAAAATATTTGATTCCTTCTTAGTATTGATAAACAAGAAGAAATTACTTCCTCCCATCCCAATCATTCTTTCATTCTCTCCTCTCTCTCCCCCCTTTTTCCGATGTCATTTCTCTAAGCATGGTGGAGGCAAGAATCAATAAGAGTGCAAGGCTCAATTAGAATGCATGGCTTTTCAATTTGCTACACTAAATAACCTCTTGCCTAATCGTAATGCATTTGTCTGTGCCATCCTTCGTCACTTAGGTCCCTCCGAGTATGAGGATACCATCGCCCTCCTTGCCAAGCTTTCTCTGATTGGCTACATCCTCGATTACCAAGCCGCCTTCAAGAATATTGTTAGGGAGGTTTGTGGTCTCTCTCAAGAGCTTTTACACAACTTGTAAGTCCAAGTTCGCATGGCTGTCCAAGCTCATCCGCTTGTGGACTTGTATGTTGCATTTGCACCTGTATGAGTCTTAACTCAACAAGCTGCATCTTAGTGACCGACCATTTCGGCTTCGGCTCTCAGCAGCACCATGCCCGACTACTTGAGATACAAAATTATATTAAACAAAAGCCTGCACACATATACACACAGTCACACATATGATAACATAAATAAGAAAAATAACATTTAAATCACTACTAAAATTTGATTAGCTACTTCAAATATAAAAAGCATAAGTCATAACATATGTTTTTGACAACACATAAAACTAAAACACCAAAAGAAGACGATGGTGATGATGATGAAGATAATGATGATAATATTAAATGTGGTAAATCACTCACTCACTCCACTGCTCCGCTAATGGCATTGCTAATGGCGATACTTAATCGAACCTTCTCTTTCTGGCCAAAGCCACTGGCATAAAAACCATCACCACATTCCCATTTATCTCGCAAGAACCTTAGGTGGTAGAGTCCACCCCTTACGCCACGTCTTTCCCTCTGAGTCCAATGGTTTTGCGATTTTACATTGTGATTCGGAACAAACCCGCTTGGCAATGAGTTTGCAAGTGACCCAACTCGTTAGTGGAGGAAAAGCACGTGGGATCGTATGATCCTATGACCCAACTTGCAATTTCGACTTTTTGACTACTATGCTTGTTGCCTCCCAATTCCCTATTTTTATCAAATGTCTAATATACAAAGAGATTCAGGTGCGACACAACAAGGATTATGCTTCAATTGTGATGAGAAGGTCATCGGGCTCCATTGACATAAAAATCGCTTGGCTCTTTTATATGTTGAAGGGCTTTGCAACATGGATGCCTCATTACTACTTGAGCTCATCGATTGGATCCACCTGATGCATTCATAGGCTGCTCACTTTTCTAACCTGATGGGTTATCATACAAGGCATTCACTCAATCTCGTGGGAGTAGATTTAGTGGCAGGGCCTTGGCCCTGGGACCCTAGTTGGAAAGATGAGCAAGCATTGGAGATATTACTTGACTTGAGGACAAGTCGTATATCGGACATTACTCAACATAGGACAAGTTTCATCTTGATAGGGGGAAGGATTTTACGCACAGTGCCGAAGTCACGTTGGCTCCAGCCAATGCCTTGACACTAGCTGATTTTTAAAAATTAGCCATGTTTCAGACATAGCTAAATAACCGTAGCTAGCCACGTTTTAAAATTTTAGTGTTTGGCACCAGCTATATTGTTTTGGTCCTGGCTGAGTTACTTTGCTCCGCCACTATTTACGCACCAAGGTCTTTGCATAGTATCAATTGACATTTATTGGCTTCCATTAATAAAAGATTGCGTTGGTATCAATTAGTCCAAATTATTATCAAATAGCATTTGTTAGCTTCTATTAATAAAATATTGGTGTCAATGGATTGATATCGATTAGTTGTTATTAGTATCAATTAGCATTAACATTTATTGACTTTACTTTTTTATTATTTCAAATCCTTATTATAAAGATCACAATGGCTGTATGGAATGAACAAGAAGAAATTACTTACTTCAAATCATTCTCTCCTCTCTTGTCTCTCCCTTCTCCTATGTCTTTTCTCTCTGCAATTCTGCCAACTTTGGAATTATTCTTATCATGCGGTGTGTTTGTTGAAACTAAAACTTCTAGCACTGATTCTGTCCTGAATTTATAGTGGTGACAAAATAGGCACTCAATTTGTATTGTTTATAAATGTTCATTTCAAGTGTTAAAATTATTTTCAAGCTAACTGTTAGGCATTTATTTAATAAATTTCACTGTACAAATGAAAATTATTTTTATCTAATGTGTTAGATAAGGAAATCCTTGCTCATAAATACAGTTAATGAGACCTCGTGCTGAATATTTTCAGCTCTGAGAGAAAGGTGAAGAAAGTACAAGATAATGAGTGAAAGAAGAGAGTTTCCGTTGATAGTTATGAATTACACCTAGTCTGAAATATTACAGAGAGGCTCTTTTTATAGAGCTGAAGGATCTGACTCCGCAATGAGTCACCTAACTAACAAACTAATCACTGACTAACAACCACTGAAGGTCATAATCTGATGTAACCAAGTATACAGTAAAACTCTATGCAATAAAGCAGTAATACAGTGCTGTAAAGTGCTACTCAAAGCATTTTACAATGCTATACACTAATGACTTAATTTCACTTTTGGCATGTACTATATAATCTTTTCATTTTCTCCAATGAATTGAGATTTCAAATCGGCGTAGTCTACGTAATTATTTTCATCTAGGAATGAGTATATAATGAGTAGCTACTTTTTTTAGTCTACTTCAAAGTTGATGACTGCAGCTACCATATGAAAGAAATATGTCCTCAAGCAAACAAATTTTTTACTTGTTTTAAACTTTCCCCAAACCCTGAATTGTGATGGTTATTTGATTTTTGTAAGATGAAACATTGAAACACTGCAGTTCCCATTTATCTTGAATGTTCCCATAATAATTCTGCTTGATATGCCTAGCCCTTGTTTGCACTATGTTTTAGCTAATTCAGATACAGTATTGTAAATGCAGATCTCTCCTGAAGATATTCAATGGGTAGGTGAGGATCCTGGAATCAATCATGGTGGGGGTTATGGTGGATCTGGTCATGGGATGAATAGGTTTGTAGGACGTGATAGTGTTCTGGGAGCTGGAAGAGGCAGAGGAGCCACAAAGGGGCAATCCAGAAAGGATTTCTTGCCATCACAGAATGGAATAGGAAAGAAGGCTCCGGATGATATACAAATACTTCACACAGAAATGCTAGTCAAGGAGGTAACTGAAAACAGTTCAATCAGAATACTATTCAATGGAGATTGTTTTATCATTATTGTCACATATTTAAGTTTCCAGTGAACTTGATAGGTAGAGAGGGTATTCAGTGCAAATCATCCTGATGCTCTTGAAATTGATAAAGCCAAGAAAGTATTGAAGGTAAGGGACAATTATATAAGTCAATTTTCCATTTCTTTTACTTTGAACCACTTTTTTTATTTTATTTTCTTGCAAATGGTGTATGTATAAATAATCAATAATGACTTGAATGCAGGAACATGAGCAAGCTCTTATTGATGCAATTTCAAGACTTGCAGATCTTTCTGATGGCGAAAGTGGTACTCTTTTCTGTTTCCACACCTTATTGCAGCGCCGTTTGAGATTTGTCCTTTACAAGTAGTCCTCTAAATTAGGAGTAAATCTTTGGTACTCCTTTAGTACATACTTCTTTACTAAAAGTATAAATAAGTCGGACTCATGTGACATTAACCATAAAGGAGTAGATAAAATCTTTATTAGGTGATGGTGCACTGAGTTACTGAATTTTTTTTCCTAAATTAGAAATTAGAATACTTGTGGACTTTGTTTGGGTGTTGAGTGGGTCTATTTGGTGTCCAATCATAATAAATTAGAATTTGCATTGATTCAGCACTAGATTTCTGTGCGTGCAATTTGACTTATTTTCATGTGATAGTATGTTGGCACAATACAGATTAATCGGACCTGTTAGCGATGTTTACTGCAGATTAGTCCCAGGCATTTCATCAAATGCCTAGGGCTCTCCTAGTTTGAGTATAAATGAGGAGAGAAGTAACATTGTTTTGGTGTGGAAAGGCTTTGATTTTCACTAACTGTTTCTTGTTAGAGTGGAAAATCCCTTTCAGCTCTCTTTCATGCTGTAGAAAGTGGCCACAAATCCAATTTCAAGCATCCCACATTTTTGCTGTACCAAGCAAGTGTGAAATAACTTTTGATTCCATATTTTTCACTTCCCTTTTTCACCGATTCAGATAACCATAGCCTAAGTATCTAGTGATACTAATTCACTCTTTATTTTAATTAAGTAATGTTGTCATTAAAACATCAAATGATGGCAGTGCATTTTATATCATATGGAAATCACCATTATGCTGTTCAATGTAACAGTGAGCGGTCATAAACTCGATTCTTTTTACAACTTTTCTTGATGTTCTTGTTCATACAGATGAGGGTGGCCCCCATTTCACACTTGCTCAATCAATGGATCGGGAATGATGGAAGACCAACTTTTACAATGGGCAGAGGAGGCATTATGGTGGCAAACTCATGGAAAAGAGTGAAACTTCTCTTGTATTATGCCATAAAAGATAATTCCCGACAGATGATAGCTCTAGGAGTTGTGTATTAGTCTTTTGCGTAGGATGGCAATTATGTAGTTTGCAATAATTATTTATTGTGGTTAAGAATTGACCTAGGACCAGATGATGCTTGTATAAAACGTATGATAGTGTATAAATTTTTGTATTTGTTGTGTCAAATTATGGGATCATCGTCTATTATAAAAGAAAAAACCGTAGTGTCTAGTCCATTCACTGCTACCTCAGCTTTTAGAGTCTCATTTTGTTCTTTTATCCTGTCCAATGTGTTCTTAATATGACAAATAACATTTCTTTTTAACATGGACGGGGGTGACCCTCATGTCTCTGCGTTCTGCATTTCCTCAAGAGTCATTTAGTATGTTTGGATGTGATGTGGCTTTAACTTTAAGAGCAGAGCTCATTGAGGACAAGACTCCACCCAAAAATATTATGTAATTTAATGCACGTGTATCCATATTCTATAGATGCTACGAACACATCAAGATAATATTTAACAATGTAAATGCTCAAAGCAGTGGATCAGTAAGTAATGTCTGAACTCACGATAATTCACCATGTGTTAGACAAACAGATAATTATGAGACGTTGAGTTGGTGTAGACAAGGAAACATCTTTCTTTCTTTTGCTCTGGCAAGATAATTATTCGATTCTGCCGTAGTTGCTTTCGGTTTTAGGCTCTCAATATTGAGAGCGACTAGCCTAACACATGGGACATGGCCTAAGGTAGTACTTGTGTTAAATTTTTTCTGTTTTGAGTCAAACTCATTTGGTAGAGGTGCACGTGAAGTTTATTATAGCTGGTCACTGTTATTGCAAGAAAAAGTAATGTCGATTTATAAATCTACTTTTCGTATTAATGACACGAGCAAGCAGGGTCCCCCCCCTTTTTTTTTTTTTTTTTTTTTTTTTTTTTTAACTATGCTATTGTGTTATTAGACTTTCTCTTTTGTTTTACCTCAAGCATATATCGAAAACAATGGATGTCTCCTGTTAAATAAACATATTTGGTCTAACCGCCGACTCAGATTTTCAAAACAAATCGATGTTTAGCTTGCTGAATATGCTCTTACATCAAAACTTAAAAGAATTGTATCACTTAATTTTTAATATTTCAAATTCTAAACTTAGATCCATTATGATGACTGATGAAAACATATATCACTTAATCCCTTTGAATGTCATATCACATTATTTTGCATGTTATTATTATTTTTTATTTAAAAAAATGCATTGATTGTATTTTAATGCATATACGCGGATTGTGAAATGCAGGTTCCATATTTTTAGTCCAATTCAATTATAGCTAGTTTTATATTATTATTTTTGTATACTTCCCTTCTTATTTTGTCATCTCACGACAATGTGAGATAAGAATTAGGGGTAGGATATTGTAACAGCCAATTAGTATTACCACTAATGTTATAATTAATCAATTTCACCGTTAGATCATTTATGTTGATCAAACAGTTATATTTATTTTCATCTTTGTATGGTTATGATTCTTCATATTTAATACTTTATATTTATTTTCTGATTTTTCATATTGCTTTTACATTAAATATGAGTAAGTTGGATCAACATAATCGATCTAACGGTGAAATTAATTGGTAGTAATATTGGTAGTAATACTACAAATGTGAAAGCATTAAATATGAGAAATTATAATCATAGAAAGGTGAAAATAAATATAAAATATTAAATATGAAGAATCATAACTAAATATAACCATTAGATCGACATAACCGATCTAACGGTAAAATTAATTAATAGTAACATTAGTAATAACACTAATTAATTGTTAAAATATTTTTATTTTTCTAAAATTAGCTTTCCTCTAGTTTTTCAACCAATTTTAAGATACTCTTATAAATTCAGTAATTCATAGAATCTTTCTAGTGTCAAGTTTCAACCCGTCTTATCAACAATAGTTCAGGACAAAAACCCACGTGATCACTTAATACTTAATTTGGTAAATGGTACTATAGAGTCAAATAATGGATATTATATATGTTGGTGGCAGGGTGCATTATCGCCTCCATTGACTGCACCGAAAGAGAATTTGGCAATGGATGCTATACCTGAGAGCCTGAAATCATCACTTCCAGTTCCAAGTGTTCAAGAACTATCACTTCAACGGCCAGAGAAAGTGCCACCAAGGTACATAAGAGATGACATCATTGTCACCAAGCCTTCTGATCCATCTCTTTGCATACCCTTGATAGACATGGCCAAGTTGTTCAACACAGACACACAAGAAGATGAGCTTCAAAAGCTTCACCTTGCGTGCAAAGATTGGGGTGTTTTTCAGGTACTACAAAAACTAGTTACTTGTTTCTTGCTTTCAATTACTTCAAGTAGTCATATGTCAAAATTCGATTTGTTTAAGGTATTCATGCTGTTAATAGATACCTGTATGTTTTGTTTTACACTAAATTCAGAATAATTTTCTCATTTTGTTCAAGAGATTGCACTATGAAAATCAATGGCATCCTACCAAAATTGATGCTTATATGAAACAGATCCAGCTGTTTAATCTAACATATATCTATAACCGAAGCATTTCTATTCAATTTATATTTTGATATTTCCATTTCAGTTCATTAATTTCTTTTTCTTTATGGTTGTTTTTTAAATAACCCTTGAAATATCCATAATTCATGGACTTACATTCTCAAAAAAGTGAAAAACATTAGCCAAAGTTGTGTCTATTTGTCCTTTTGGGTATAATTAGAAAGCTAATAGAAATAAAGGCACGTCAGTGTTCTGCCCTAGGCAGATGTGTCCAATTAAGATTGGATGATTGATCTATGATTCAGGTGTCTTCTCTGGATACCTATGAGTTAGGTATCTTGAGGACAACAGATCACACACTATCTGATGGCCTTAGCCCTGGGAAAGGTGTGTGTGTGTACTATCTAGGCTGCGTAACTAGGTAAAAAGAGATTAGGTTATACCTGTGGCGTTTAGCTCCTATTTATAATGCTTACCTGTGGGCTTGTGCTGATCATGGGCCTTACTGACCATGAGCCTCATTCTGGTCCATAACAGTTGCCCCCCAGCCCAGTATGCTGAGCCTTCAGGATGCCGGGGTGCCATGCCGAGTAGACAGAGCCTCCAGGATGCCGCGGTAAAAGGTGCTTTGCCGATTTCCTTTCTTCCGCAGCGAATCCTCCTTTTGCAGGCAATCATTACAACCCTCCACGTGGCCCTCTCATATCTGCGCGACGTGTGCCACTACGCCTGCTCGAGCCGCTGGTATTTATTGCAACTGCCTCAGCGTCCTTTCAACTGTCTTTCCTTACGAAGTTACCCTTTTACCCTTGACCTTTGATTTCGCGGGTTTCATCTATTTGATTTGCGCTTCTCCCTTTCTTATTACCTTATTTGCTTCATTACGCTTAGAGGCTTCCTTCAACATTTCCTGTATTTCATTCCAAAGGACTTCCTTCAGTTCATCAGTTTCTCGTCGTTTGCCACCTCTCGCATCCTTCACTTGCACCAGGTATGCGCTCCAACCTACTTTGTTTTTCTTCCTCTCTTGCTTTGATTTTCCTTTTGCTCGAATGTATGTTCGACAGGGACGCGTTTTCTGTCTCTGGGTATTCTTGCTTTAGCTATGCATACTTAGGCACACACTTTTTAGGATACTTTGCTTGTTAATGCAATGTTCTTCCTTGGGTACTTGACTGTGGGTTGCCTTGCTCTCCCCTTAATAGCATGACCGGGGGGAATTTGCACGGTAGAGGGACGTCCACCTGTCCTCGTGTTTTTGGCCGTAGTGATGAGATTCTACTGGAGGATGAAGAACAAGCCACACGGGAGGAGGAGAGATACGTCCAGAGCCTCTCCCCCAGCGTGAGGTTTTGGTTGTATGGTATACCTCGGACCCAGGACGAAACGCAAGCCGCCCTACTTAGGAGCTATCGCGGCAGTAGAAGCGGAGGAAGTTCTTCATCCCGTCCTCCCACACGAGGACGCCGTCAACGATCTGGTCGTATCCCGGTTGTTCCATCCCGACGTTCCAACCCAAATCTAGGTAGAGGCTTAGGTTCCTCCAATTCGGCTTTTACCCCGGCTTCAAGCCTCACCCGGGTTCAAGTTCCTGTTCAGTCCGAAACCATTATCCCAGGCGCTAAGAACATAGATCCGTGTTTTAACTGTGTCTATCTTAGCAGCCAATTTATTGAGAGAGGGAACGACTTTATGGCCGATGCGGTGCTAGGAAGTTGCACCCATTATCCCGGCTTACCAGATCCTGCCTCTGCTTCCTTGTCTTCTTCTGATGATTCATCCGACTCTTCTTATGCTAGTTTGTTTAGCTCAGGTACGTACACTTTTTGTCACGTACTGTTTCTGTTTTTAATCCCCCACTTTTGTTGTTCTAGGTTTTGATGGAGTCCCCTTCTACAGAATTTGCCCCTGAAATGACCTCGTCAAGTCCTGGTCGAGAAGCCGACACCAGCCCCGCCGAGCAAGGCTCTTTTGCCGTTGATACAACTCTTCGTAAGCAGTTTCCCTGGGTGACCGAGGAGGTGCTTAGCTTCCGGTCATACATGACGACTGAGGAGATATCCGGGCTTCCCATAGGCAACCCAGTGGGATTTGATACTTTTTGCCCTGCCGAAGACGAACCCGTCTGCTCGGGACGGAATCCCGAAGAACCTCCATTTTTCTTCTGCTATCGTGACTTAATCACCAAAATTGGTATTCGTTTCCCTTTTTCCGCTTTCAAAATTCAATTACTGAATCACCTTCACCTTGCCCCCACACAAATTCATCCCAATGGTTGGGCTTATATTGTTGCCTTCGAACAATTGTGCACTTCGTTGTCTGTATCAAGCACCGTGCCCTTTTTCTTTTATTTTTTTAATATATACACCCCCCGAACCTACTGAGCTCAAGGGGTGGACCAGCATCCAGGGTCGTGGAGGAAAGAAGCCGGAGTCTAGAAGATTGTTTTCAGTATACAGTGACTCCTTTAAAGACTTTAAAGGTGCATTTTTTAAAGTCGTTGCCGAGGTTGGTGCCAAGCCGTGGTTTCTCCACGAGAATGGGGAAGGGAAATTCCCCTTGTACTGGTCATATGATCACCACTTGCGGAAGCCGGGAGATTACCGGCTGGGGTTGTCAGCGGAGGAAAAGGCACACGCGAAGGCTTTGCTGGCTCACATCGGGGCTCAAGGGCATCTGAGCGCTGCTTCCTTAGTGGCAAAGTCTACATCCGACCTTCCCCAAACTAGTATGGATTTATGCGTACATGTTCATATTTTGCATTGTAAGTATGTTACTTACTAACCCCGGCTTGCGTTTTCCTGTGTGCAGGTTTCCAAATGAATCCTTCTGTGGACAAGGTTCCGGACTACGTTCTACCTGGCGAGGGAAGTCTTCTGCTCGGACTCAATCCCATGCCCTCAAGCGACCACGGACCACGAGTCCTCCTGCTGGGACGAGCATCGTTCCTCCAGCGACAACCGCCGTCTCCGTGATGGATTTAACCAGTGATGACAGCTGGCTGGATGTTGGGAATTACCAAACATCCGCCCCTGCAAGGTCAACTGGGGTTGCCGGGGTTGTGACATCTACGGAGCATGGTAGTCCGGCTCCCTCACCCCTTCTTGCCGGTCTCAGGAGAGGCGCTCTGTGGGCAACCGGAGTGGCGACAGAATTGCGCGGAGTGACTCGTCCGCCGCCAGAATTTTACGGGACCGGCATTTTGTCAGAGGCCCAAGTGAAAGAGCTGAAGATGGCCAAACTGTATACTTACAAAGCGGCCTCTTTGGTGAAACCGTATTCGGTTCTACTGGAGAAGCATTCCGAGCTTCATGCTGAGAAGGATTCCCTCCAGACTGACAGGGATACCCTCCGAGCTGAGCACGACAAGCTTGTTGAAGATAATAAGAATTTGACCATATCTGCTGCTGCTTCGGCAACGTCTTTGAAGCAATACCAGGCTGACATGAAGCTTATTTCGGACTCCTTCGGCCTTGAGGCAGATAAGGAGGCCATTATAAACTTTATCAAAGGAAAACTGTCGTCACTATCCGAGTTGGAGAGGAACAACGTTGCTTTGAATTAGCAGGTCCAGAAGCTGGAGACTGATGTCAAGAATTTGCAAGCTGATTATGACAATAGTCAATCCGTGCTGGAGAACGCTGCTGAAACTACGTTCAACAATGCTGTCAATCAAATCAAGCACTTCAATCCAGACGTGACCCTGAACACGGACCAGCTGGATTGCTTTGGATATGTCTTAGGCGACACGTTCTTCCCGTCAGCTACGGAGACCGAAACTAACAACGATGCACCTCCCCCCGGGAATCCGGTGATGGAAGCCGCCGCATAGCAATTCGAGCAAGAAATGAGAGAAATTTTTCCCCATATCTCGGATCAACCTTGAAGACCCGGAATGCCGGGGTATTTTGTAATCTTGATTTTTAAATTGACATTTACGAATTCTAGGCTGCATGTTGGTCGCTGCTTTTTGCTCTTAATGATATTTGGTAAATTCAGATATACTGCTTTGGCATATCTTTACTCCGTATATATCGTTTTCTTCGTTCACTTTTGATCCCTTCTTGGGAGAACGAGTTCAAATACCTTGTCCCGAGCTACAGGGCTAGAACACTAACCATCGCTTGAGGCAAGGCAGGTTCAAGTACCTCGAGTTTGTTACCGCGGCTAGAACGTTCAATTCCACCCTTTGGGTGAGACGGTTTCAAACCTGACAGGTTTTCTCACGGGGCTAGAACACTCTATCCTGCCTTTGGGCTGGACGGGTTCAAATACCTCGAATCTATTTCCGTGGCTAGAACACTCAATTCCACCCTTTGGGTGAAACGGGTTCAAATCCGACAGATTTTCTTACGGGGCTAGAACACTATATCCTGCCTTTGGGCTGGACGGGTTCAAATACCTCGTGTCTATTTCCGTGGCTAGAACACTCAATCCCACCCTTTGGGCAGGACGGGTTCAATTCCTTCGGATTGCCTTACGGGGCTAGAACGCTCAATCCTGCCTGTTTGGCTGGACGGGTTCAAATACCTCCGGATTGCCTTACGGAGCTAGAACGCTCAATCCCGCCCGTTGGGCTGGATGGGTTCAAATACCTCGGATTCCCTTGCAAGGCTAGAACTCTTAACCCCGTCGATTTGGCGGGTTAGGTTCAAATACCTCGGTTTTATCTTCCATGGCAGAAACACTTTAGTTCTGTTGCTTCATAATGTATTCTCAATTGTAAGAGGAAACAAAAGTTGTTCAAATTTATTCATAATTCAAATTACGTAATACAATAAAAGGAAAGATGAAAGA